TCTTACAAAACTTTTTGCTATTAAAAGAGAACTTGTCAAGAAAATTTATTTCTGGATTTTTTGGATTATTTTGAAAGAATCTTTATTAGAAATAATATTTGGAAAATAAATAATTGGTCAATCTACCAAGTGACCATCAGAACCAACAATGATGTAGAATCCTGGCATCATAGACAAAACAGTCACTGTGGACAGAGCATTAATTTTTACAATTTAATTTTGAAGTTAAATCATGAATCAAAGATTGTTGCCCTTTATGAAAAGTTGTTGTCAGAGAAAAAGATATGTAGCATACAGAAAATGAAATACAAGGAATTGTAAGGTAAAATGTTTAGTTTGGGAAGAATTTGCAAATGCTGATAAAACAGCTGATGTATTCATAGAAATTTCCAACTTGTATTTTCCATAATTTTTGAAAAACAAATTTTCATGAATATGAAATTAATTATTTTAGTTTATTTTATTATTATTAGTCTATTCTTCAAATTTTATTCTAAGATCAATGATTTACGATTTGAGAGTTTGGTTTCTAATCCATTTTGATCCAAAAAGCTAACAATTGTTAACAATATATTTCAAACATTAATTAAAGAAAAGTAAGAGCTTATCAACTTTCAATTCTTTCAAAAAAGATGATTTTCATTGAAGTACACAATAACTTCATGAGATTGACAGTTTTACAAGTTAGAATGATCAACAGTCTAAGGATTAACCATCTTAGGGGTCAACTGTTCACATGGGGGTCAACTATCTGGGGGTCAACTGTCCCAAAGCGGGTCAACTGTCCTTTACCCCTATTTATCTACTATAGAAAAGAGCTGACAAATGTATGTGTACAATTTTAAAGTAATGAACAATCTTTGAAAGTTTTTCTCAGGCATTTAGCTTGTTCATCACTTAATGCACAGGAATAACAATTAATTACTTTCAAAGTTTTTGAAGAAGATACAAGTCCATCACATATTACTTTAAATCCTCTTCCCATATCATTATTGAAAGATAAATCAATATTTTCAAGTGTTGAACACTCTTTCAATGCTTTTCCCAGAAATTCAGCTTGATCATTGTTTAATGCACAGGATGAAAAATTAATTATTTTCAAAGTGTTAGAAGAAGGTTGGAATCCATCACATATTACTTTAAATCCATATCCCATATCTGTATTGAAAGATAAATTAATATTTTCAAGTGTTGAACAATCTTTCAATGCTTTTCCCAGACATTCAGCTTGATCATCATTTAATTCACAGTTATAAAGACTAATTATTTTCACTCTTTAAATGTCTTTCTCAGACTTTCTGCTTGTTTAGCATTTAATAAACAGTTGTAAAGATGAATTATTTTTAAAGAGTTGGAAGATTTTTTGAGCGCATTACAAATAATTTTAAAAATATCCACATTTGTTTTTGGTTTAAGTCATCAGTATCTTTTTGGAATATTAATATTTTCATTCCAGTGATACCTTTTTAATATATTTTTTATATGTTGGATAAATACAATTTAATGTGTTAATTGATGTTTCAGGATATCTGTTTTGTCTTTTTTGATAAACTGTTTTTAAAACTAATTTTATAATCTGCTGAATGATCTTCAAGTAACTTTTATATTTATTCTTTTTTTTGTATATTATTGTCAGAAAACTGAATTCTACAGTATAATTCTACATCAAAATATTTCATGAAATTTTTATTCTTAAAAAGTAGTCAAAATTTTATACATGTTAAAATTGTTCAGTTAAGAAAATTAAGAAATTTGTGAAATAAATATTACCTGTTTAACCAAATATATTCACAAGGCTAGTTCTGGTATAGGTAAGTAGTATTGAACTAGAGTTGGGGTGCGAATGTACCCAGGTACGTTCACACCCTATTTTTATACTTGTTTTTTTTTGAATTTTTGAATAAAAGATTTAGCTATAAATCTAAAAGTATGTATTTAAAAGACTAAATATTATACTAAAAAAGAATAAAGCTTGACAAATGATATTTATGCTGGAGAGTAGATATGGGATGTCTGCATTAATAAATCAATTGATGTCAATTTGTTCAACTTGAAATCATCCCATAAATCAAAAATTTTCTTTTGGATGTCAATATACTTTTTCTTTTGATGTTTGTAAATCCTTTTTTCTGACAGTAATTTCTCATAAACTGCAATCAACTCAGACTCTTTTTTTAGCTCATCAACCAGCATGTAAAGAGACTTTTTAGCAGGTAGCTTACTGTTCATTCTTTGTGTACGTTTGCACCCGCCCAGGGTACGTTCGCACCCAACCCCATTGAACTATTATTGATCTGCACTTTTGTCTCAGTATGGTATAACACCTGTTGGAGAATTCTGGCAAGAATATTGCACAAAGTCTTAAATTACAGTTAGGACTAACGCAGTATTGATCTGTAATGAAATTGAATATTTAAACAACAGCTTTATGTATTTTATTGCACATGTTGAGAGTTTTAAAGATTTTTGAACAAGGAAAATTATATCTGTGAAAATTAAAAATTTTCAAAAAATTATATTTAAAGTGACAAGTGATATGGTTTGAAAGGGGCCAACAGAAAACGTCCCCAAATGAGATTTTTGAAAGAAACATTTCGGATTGAAAAATTGTTAGGAGGAGTAAAGTAGCTTTTGATTTATAGTTAGGGGGGGTTCCATCTAAGGGTTAGGAGCAATCAACAAGGTTAAGGAGAGACAAGGGCTAGGTTAGGGTTAGGGTTAAATCATGAATTTGGGGACGTTTTCTGTCGTATCCGGTTTGAAAAGCATTATTATAAATATCTTTAACTATTTTTAAAAATCCTAACAAAAAAAATGGCAAAAGAAACAATGAAACAAAAGGTATCTATACTGGTATTATATTTTTTAAACAAGTGCCACTGGAACAAGCTATCTGCTTTGGAATGTTAGAGGCTTGTTTCATTTGACAAACTAGATATTCTGGGGCAAACAGAAAATGTCCCCAAATGAGATTTTGAAAGCAACATTTCAGATTGAAAAATTGTTAGATACAGTAATTTGATTGGTAGTTTATGTCTAAAGTAATTAAAAAGGAGAGTGGGTGAAACTGTACCTGGATGAAATTGAACCCTTGCATGGCTAATAAAGCCATACTCATAAAAAGTTAATTCAAAATTAAGAGAATACATATTGAATATTGTAAATATATTATATTATTACAATATAAAGATTGTTGAAAATTTAAATAACAGCCATTAAAAAATTGAAGAAGATAACTTTCACTTTGGAAACAAGTTGCTTTTAAAGTCAAGATATATTTCCAAAATATTTCTTGACAAAGTTTATCTTGGACTATTGGAGAGAGGTTCATTTATATAGAATCGAATCTAGATTTCAATTATACTTCTTTTTTTATTTGTAAAACAAAAACAAGGCTATTAAAGTTATATGCTCATGTCAAGTTTGTCTGATTTGCCTAAAATGTAACCAACATTTTCAGGTTTGGTTATATGTTATATAATTTTCATTTCCTTCACTGTTCTCTAATCAATCTTTGATGCACTCATCAGGTTTGATGAAAGTATCAGTATGATATTCAGATGGACCATTCTCACTCATACCTATAATATCGTCAGTTTTATCCATGCTTTTCTGGTTGACAAGGTGTTCTGATTTGTTTTTTAATAATGTTTCACAAAGGCTGCAGATCAACTGATTTTGGTCCCTGAGAAAAAGAAAGTAATAATAATTAGTTTTGATGCAGAGTGTAACACTTACTTTTGAGACACTTTTGATGAAGAATTTCATTGCATATGATACATTTTATTCTTTTTTGTCTGCCATAAAATTCATTTTTACAAATTTAACAAAGAAGAGCCATGTTTGAATCTGGTGTATCACTAAAAAAATGCAATGAGAAACACATATATATCACTAACCAACATATTTTTAATAATCTATAATCTTAATAATATACTCACAGTATTCTTATTGGACCTCCAGTAACAATGTCAAATTTTCAAATTAGGATTGCACACTTCTTAGACAACAGAAAGTGTCAACAAATCAGCAGCAGCCATTATCTTATTCTTACTAACAATGGGAGTGAATGAAACCATACTGAAAGTATGAAACTGTACCTTAATCAATATATAAACTTATAATAAACAAATGACTGATAGAGATATAACAATGGAAGATGATGAATAAAATAATTAAAAGAGTCAATCAATGGATAATGAGTATTATATCTTTAAGGGTGGCAACTAGCCTACTATTAACGCCATCTGTATAGTATATTACTTGTATTTTTTAGATTGTATAATTTTAACACACTGTTTATTAGGGTGAATATGGTTAAAAAAAATTACAACTGTTCATAAATCAATTAGTAAACTGGAAGCCAACACTTTAATACAAGTGATGTATTGAATAATCTTGCGTTTACTGATCTATATGAAATTAGAGAGGAAGGAGAGAAGACTGATTGCTAACTTTGACCTTGAGTCAAAAAGGAATAGTTTATCATATTTCCGACTCATTTTTCTAGAGTTTCTTCCTATTGAATTTTAAATTAAGACAAAATCAAATCATCTATAGTAGTTTATTGTTTGAAACGTCCTCCGCCCGTAATCCTGAAGAACAACAGTGTATTTTTGTAGCTACAGTGATAATCATTTAGTTATATACTGAAAGAGTATGATATCCTTAGTTCAATAGGGTTTATCTACTAAAATACAAAATAGTAAATAAACAAATTACTCTTTCAGAATCACCAAATATGACCTCAAAATAGTTCCAACACTGTTCTTCCTAAAAACAACTAGTTTTCTATAGAGAGAGAGAGAGAGGTATTTTCTTAAAATTGTTGAATTTGAAGGGAATAGTTTACATAGAGAATTAACAGTAAAAATATATTTTTTTAATAGAGGAAATTAAAGAGAAAACTAAAAGGATTTTACTCAATAAATATTGACTTTTATCATTTGCATTTAAGTTTACTTGCAAATATACTTTGTGATTGTTCCTTATTAACTGAAAATGTACTGGAGAAAATTTACCCTATTAAAGGATATATCTGCTATTTTCATCATTTTTAGCCCTTTTTGTTTCAATTTGGAAACTTGCCAACATAAAAAAGTCGGAATCTTTGATAGTAATAAATTTCCTAACTCAAGATTTACAGATTTCCTTCGATATAATGACAATAGACCAGAATATGTTAGAATAACATATCCAAATCAGGAATACTCTTGGAATACTATTGAAGCTGGTGAAGGATGGATTCAAGTTGATTTGGGTTAGTATTGCTGCCTATTGTAGTTGCAATATCTGATGGTTAAAATAATCATTTTTTTATTAAGGTGAAGTATATGAGATACATGGATTAGACATTAGAGGAAGATGTTGGTGTGCTGGATCTAGTCAATCTTACTACTATACAAAAACATTTAAATTACTCTATGGTTTGGAAGATGGTGGACTAAGTTTTTGTAAAGATAAAGAAGGAAATAATGAGGTTGATTTATTCCAACAGCATATATTCAATCTTTTATCAACTAATTCTCTTATTAGATGTTTTATGGAAATGATGAAAACTCATGGAATGATACTATTCATATAAATTTGAATATGAAAATTTAAGCTAGAAGACTAAGAGTAAAACCATACAGTGGTCGATATCACGCAATTGCTTTAGAGTTTTATGGATGTGGTAAGTTTTTCTGAACATTTTTTCAAAATATTTTTTTATATAAAAATAAATAATCATTCAACATTCCATTAAAAAATGTAAACAATAATAAACTTGAAAAATTCAAAATTACACAAACCAATTACACCTAACAATCTATCAGCCATAGTTTAATTTTTTGTGTCTTTAAATTCAATCAATATTTAACTATATTTCATGAAATTGTGAAAGAATCCAAAATGCACTTGAAAGGTGTTCCAAAAATAGAGCATGGCAAAGAAATACTGCCCCTAAGCTATCATGTTCATTTTCAGTGGAATGGTTCTGACTTGTGTCTGAGGTTGAATTATTCTTCTGTGTCTAGCAAGGTAAGTGTTTATGAAGAAAAGCACTTTACAAAAGCAGTGCATTTTGCTTAGAGTTTTAAGAAATGCTGTAAATAATAACAACTTCTTTTAACAAGTGTTGAAAAAAAAACAAAGATTATTCTCTTGTATTTGCAGTACAGTTAGGAGAGAAATGACTCTTTTGGAATTAATATGCTACAAAAGAGATAGTGGAACAACAATATTTTAGTGTGTATGCATACATATGCTTTTCTTCAATTTTTAGTTTATTGTGTGGGAAGATAAAGTTTAAATTGAATCATTTTGAAAAATATCTTTCAATTTCCAAGAGCTTTTCCAACCATAGATGTTTGCCCAATCACTTCAAAGGCACAGCTATTTGCAATGTCTCCATTTGATTAAGCTTGTCACTTCAAGAGAGCATTATAAAAATGATGAAAAGTTGAATACTTCTTAACCCTCAAAGAGTACTTGTTAAGCCCCTGCCTTAGATTTTGATATTTGGGGAAGAAATTTTATATTTCCCTATCACTCCCTACCTCCTTCAGTCCCTCCGGCCTACTCTCCTTTTACAACTAGGAATTTATAACAAATTGAGTAGGAAGAATACAAATATTCAAGTAACCTCAGAGCATTTTCTTAAGGAATATTCCACTCCAAACTTAAATGTGCCCTATGATGAATCTGTTGCAGAAAATTAGCTTGTACCATTGCTTAATGCAACTGTATGTACATTTTGAGTTGTGTTATATTCCACTCGATTACAGCAATGAAATTCATTAACATTCTCTATGTAAATCTTTGACCTGTTTCCAGTTACCCTCCAAGATATCATTGAGGATTTTGGCAATTTTGGTCACCATCAGTAATAGGAGGAATCTTCAATTCCGTTGACGTAACATTTCTGTTATTCCTTTGTAATTGAGTAAAAAGACTGTTTTTTCCAATTATTTTTGTTAGTTATAGGTTATATCAGAGAATTTATAACTATCTGGGATATAATGTCTCATACAAAAAGTACAAGGGTCCTGTAGTTCAATGGGGCAGACAAATATTTTAATTCCATATTCCCTCATATGTTGGTAGAGGGGTCTATCAATCCCATTTCTGAGGGCCAGGTTGTGTGTTCCCCATTTGCTTTTAATTGAATCAGTGCCCATGTAGGATATTAGGCAAACAGAACATTGGAGAATATATATCAAGTTCTTTGTGTTACAAGAGACCTGTTTGTGATGATATCATCAATATATCTTCCGTAGAATTCAATATCATTTGAGTATCTACTGACAAGTGGGTCTTCCCATTGTGTTAAACAATGCTAGCATATGCTGGGCTGAATGGTGCTCCCATTGCTGTTCCCTTGATCTGTAAGAATCTTGTTTTACCAAATAAGAAGTCATTGTGGGTAAGGCAAATCCAAAGAATTTCCAGAATGAGGTCTATATGGGTTCTTATGTAGTGTCATATAATCTTTAACTGCTTTTATTCCCCATTGTGGGTTTATACTGGGATATACAGCTTCCATATCAGCTGCGTATATATTCCTTCCTGTCCAGTCTAATTTTTTTGAGTTTGTCCATGCAATGTGATGAGTTCTTGACATAGCTATTTGTGGTTTTTGCTAGTCTTACCAAAAATAAATCAATCCATTTGCTAATATTATATAGGTCAGAACCACAGTAAGTCTGTTGCCCTTGTCAGCAGGTTTGATGATCAATTGTTCATTGGTTTTAAGTAGTTTCTTTAATGGTGTATTTTCAGTGTTTTTTTTTAGATTTACGTACTGTGGGATCTCTGATGATATTGTGTAGTAGGCATAGTGGGGTATGGGAAAAAACGTCCCAAGGGTGGAAATAATGTCCCAAGGGTGGGAAAAGATATTCAAGGTCAAAAATATTATCACAATTTGGGAACTAATAATAATATAAGCAAAGTTAAATAATTGTATGTTGTTATATAGTAAATATTACCTTTATATTTATGATGGCAAAGTGAACATGTTATTTCTTTATTCATCAACTTTTCTACACAATTATTGCAAAATATTCTTTCAGATTCTAAATTAGAAATGAAAAGAGTCAATAATTTCATTAAAACTTATGGAAAGACAGACCTTTTATGCATTTGGCATGAACACAATCTTGGCAGTTACTGCATTTCATTTTTCTCTGTCTACCATAAAATCTTTTACTATAGTTAATACAAACAGGTGCCCTTATTCAATTTCTGTAAAAACTATATTCACTTTCAAAAATCAAATATGGCTGCCAATACAAAAGTTATAAATAATAACTTACCAAGAGAGAAAGGCTCTTGGAAAATTGTATAATCTTGAAATGCTTCATAAACCAATTCAATAAAAAGAGAATGAATGCTTAAAAACACAAATGAGCCTTAAAATATGATAAGAAATGTAAAATCTACCATTCACTGCTAGGCAACACAATGAAATAATTCATTTCTCCTTTAATAACATTACATAATTTAGAGAAAACTGGTAAAAATATGACTATTATATTTTATAATTGAAACAAACAGTATAGGGAAAATTATCAATAGTTCAGGCTACAACACTTTATTTACCCCAGGACGTTTTTTCCCAAACCTAGGACATTTTTTCCCACCCTGAGACGTTTTTTCCCAGGGACGTTTTTTCCCAAGGACGTTTTTTCTTGACCCCGGCATAGTGTTTTGTCAGTGATATGTTCACATTCAGAATTGTCCCATCTATAAGTTGATATAGATCATTTGGAAGTTGTATTGCAGTCTGGGAGGGATTGTCCCTCAGTTTGTGTCAGAATTGGCATCAAGGTCTGCCAATTATTGGATTTGGACCTCAGATCTAAAACTGCCTCTAGAGATCTGACAACTTTATGTGTCTGTCTACTAATCAGTTTGGCTAAAATTTGAAACAGGAACTTGGACCAGCTAGGTCTTCCCTATTTAAAATGTCCAGGCCAATGGGAGTAGGTTTAAAAAAAGAGTGGATTTGGCTGTAGGCTATTACTCAAGCATCTAAGAAGCCATAGTTCCATCAGGCTGTGAATGTCACTTGCAGCTATTAGGCCTTAACTGATCAAATAGGGTGCTGGTTTTGTTTCTTCACCCTCAATCTCTCTAAGAGTGACTGCAAACAAAGGGGAGTTCAAATAATGGGAAGAGGGGTGTTAACCTAACCCAAAGGTCAAACCTACAGCAACATAGGTTGAGGTTAAATGAACTCATCACTTGTTCAAACATTTACATAACCATTGCCATATTTAAACATATTGTTAGTATTTGTAAATATTTTAAAATTACAATAATCAATAGAAAGATATAAATTTAGCTCTCATCAAATAGCATAGTGTTAGGGTTAGTAAAGGTTTTCTTCTTGACAAAAGTCAAAAAAGAGAAATGGAATTATCACTTTGATAGTGTCCCAATTCTTTTTGGTAAGCAGTCAAAGAAAAAACACACCAAAATCAACATTAAAAGCAGTTTCCATCAGAAGAAATTTTTTCAAAAATATTTTCCAAAAATTTTTTTCTGAATTTTTCCTACCTTCAAGATCTACCATGGTTTCGTCCTCAATAGGCGTTAGTGTTAATTTTTTCAATCTCCAGGACAAAGAATTTTTGAATGGCTTTATATTTGTTGCCAGAAACTTTTACACAATACCTTGTTGTTTTCCTACAGAGGGAACACAGGGATGGCAAAGCAACAAAATTGGAAAGTTTACTCAAAGCCAGAGGTTAAAAGGCTGTTACAGTTGATGTTTAAGACAGTAAAACTAACCAAATGGCCATTTAATGGGCTGTTCATAGAGGTTACACAGACTGCATTGATGTTCTTTCAAAGAATGAAACAGACATAACTCTCAGAGACAAATGTGTAATGTTGAAAAGCTTATAATGTCTGAAGATAGTATATGTTCCCATATCTCTGGATAATTTTATCCTAAATTTTATCTGTTTATTTTTACAATTTCTTGCAAATTTTGCAGAACAAACTCTCAAAGAAAACTGTCTACTATATCAAGAATCTTACCCAACATAAGTACTTGCCTCATAATCACCCCATATGAGAGCTAAAATTCACTTCAGTCGAGATACCAAGTCAAAGGATGGAACAGAATCAAGATTTTCCTCAGCATTTCTGTAAGTAGTTGATATCATTTTATATCCTGTAAAAGTAAAGTCTTGAATGAGCATGCTAAATGCTACACTGCCAAGCAAACCTCAATAGTTTCCAATACCCTTACTGTGAGTATGCATGACCCGGGGACTGGTTATAAAGAGTGACAGAATCCTGTTCTTCTTATTGGAAAGCATAGAAGAAAGTTTGGTCATAGGTGAACAGGATCCAATCCAATATTGCTTCCCTTCCTGAGTTATGGCCCAGATAGGCCAACAAGGTGTCAATCCAAGGCATCTGTTGTAACATTGGAAATGAAGGATGACTCTAGTCTCCACCATTCAGATATGATCATCACCCTCAAAGAAGAATGCAACAGGTATACATCAGCAACAAGTTAACAAACAAAATTCTTGTTTACAATATTTGCTTTTGCTACTTTTACCCTTGAATTTATCCAACCATCAGATTACTTACTTCTTCCAGGT